CCACTAGCTTTGCAGGAATACATAAGCGTTAGATATATAAAATGTGTTGTATTTTTAAGACTTTACTGTGTTTTTTAAAAACATGTCATTTTGCTTTTAAAATAACTTGTAATTATATAGACTGAGCAGGTTATATTTAGAAACATATGTATAGATGTATACATATGTGCATGCAGTCACAATTAATGAAAGAAGTGGCTATGAATTTGAAGGAAAGTAGAGAGGGATATATGGAAAAGTTTGCAGGGAGAGAAGGAAAATGAGAAATATTGTAATTATATTAAAAACTCAAAAATAAAAAATGTAAGGAGTAAGGTTTTTCCTCCTGATGCTGGTCTTGTCCCGCCGCCGCACCAGCCCCAAATAACACACCGAGACTCTGTATTTGATATAATGCTGTTAGCCAGGTACTAATTTCTTATAGGCTAGCTCTGTCTTAATTATTGACCCATTTCTGTTAATCTAATATTTCCAAGTGGTCTCATCTTACTGGGGAGTGGACCCAGACCTCTGTTCTTTCCAGTCTCTCCATCTTGACTCCTCCTTCCTCTTCCTATTTCCTCCTTGTCTCCTAGACCCACCTGTCTTGCTTTTCTATTGGCCAACAGTGCTTTATTCATTAACCAGTATAAGAAACATATTTACAGAATGACATCTCCCATCAAAAAAAGAACTTTTTTTTCAAATTTATTTAATTTAGTAACAATCTTATTTTACATATCAAGCCCAGTTCCCTCTCCCTTCTATCCTCCCATCCCCCAACCCTCCCCCAAACCCACCACCCACTCAGTCACCAAGGATGGTGAGGCCTTCCATGGGGGATAATCAAAGTCTGCCACATCATTTAGGGGAGGGCCTAGGCCCTCCTCCATATATCTGAGCTGAAAGAATGTCCCTCCATAGGGAATGGGCTCTCAATGTTCATGTGTGCACTAGGGATAAGTACTGGTTCAACTTGTAAATAAATGAAAGGTAATATGAATTTTTAAATATAGCTTTAAGTTAATGGGTGAAAATCCTTCAGCACTTGTTAAATAATATAAAAGCCTAATTAGAGACATATATTATTTCTAAATCTCAAGCATAATACTCTGTCTCTAGTCAGAGGTTTTATATCTCTATTTCTTATTTGAAGTAGAGTACCTATAGTAAAAATATCACATTTAAATACTTTGAATGTTAGCATAATTGTATGTATTTCTTGACCAAGAAAGTAATCCATTTCCATTTGTAAGAGAACCCTGACTGGTTAGTTAAAATTTCATTTTCTTTCCATATGTTGAGCTAATCAATGAAGATTGGATTATATGCATGTTTATTGGTTCTCCTTAGAACTTTATTTGTTTGGACTCAGTTAAATAAAAACATAAAAATATAGTTCATACCAGTTTCTAGAATGATCTATTCAGGAGTTAAAATGAATAATTCTCTTTATAACCTGACGTTTGGTCTCATGAAACTTTTTTTTTTTTATAACCAAGTCCATTTAAATGAAAACAAAGATTTATAGACAATATTTGGGAATTTGGGCGTCGTTCTTTCCAAACTACTTCTTTCTGGTAAGGGGCGCTGTCATGGGGGATTCTAAGAAGATTCAGAAATCCTGGCTGTAGTCTGCAAGGCTGCTTTGTCCAGCTGTTTTGAATGTAGGATCACCTGGTACTCTGTTTCAGGCAGTCTGGCTTGATCAAACCACATTAGTCTGGAAGGAATCCACAGCTTTTCATTTTCTGTGGAAACAAAAATAGAAATCCTTTTCCCCAGTAACTTGTCCTTGAACTTAAATTTTGGAGTCAAAGCATTTTTTTATTTAATTTATTATTTTACATGTCGATCCAAGTTCCCTCTCTCCCTTTTACCCTCTCTGCCCTCTCACATGCACCCTAACCACCCTCCCCTCCCACCCCCCCACCCCAATTCCATATGTAGGGCAATACCATCCAGTTGGGGTCATGTAGATCTGATAGGTCATGTGAAGGGACTAGGGCTTCTCTCCTGTCTCTAGGTTAAGGCAGTTATCCCTCCATGGGGGATGTGTTCCTAAGGTCCTTTTGTGCACCAGGGATACATACTGGCTCCACTGTCTGAGGACCCTTAGACTGCTCAGTCCTTCTGGCTGAGACCCATGTTTAGGGGGACCTGAGTCAGTCCCATGTTGGCTTCCCAGCTATCAGTCTAGTGGCCGTTAGCTCCTCCTTGTTCAGGAAAGCTGTCTCTATGTGTTTCTGCAGCCTGGTCTTGTCCTCTCCATCTGCATCTGGGTTCTAGTTTGACTCGGTGTTTATGTATGGGTGTTTGCGCCTGTTTCCAACAGACATTAGTTGAGGGCTCCATGGATAAGTTAGTTGTTGATCTCACTATCCGGGAAGGGCATTTATGGTAGCCTTTCTACGGATGCTCAAATTGTTAGTTGGCGGCAGTCTTGTAGTTCTCTAGACCTTTCTTTGTGTTCAATTTTATCTTCAAACCACACAATCATTTGAACAAAATCTTTTAGTGATGAGATAGAAATTACATGAACTAAATGCCTTAGTGAGAACCCATTTTGCTTGGGTATAGTATTCCAAGGACACATTTTAAAATGAGGACCAGAGTCAGATTTCTCTTCTTTCACAAAGTAAAATGAAAATACCAGTTAAAATGCTCTCCCAGAATTTAATAACATAGCATTAAATTAATAGACATTAATGGAAGGGTGAAGGGTTATTACATCAAAGACTGTCCAATAGCAAACAAAATTAGGTAAAGTTTTCATTTACTGCTTTGTCGTGACATTGAGAACAAAGAGAAACAAATCAATATTGTTGCAGTTTAAGCATTTAACATTCACTAGGACTCATTTGCCAAGCCCCGAGTCTGTACCTGATATGGTGTATTAAATATGCTGGTGTCTACAGGCTTATTTTTTAGATAATATTTAATTTTATTGCCCAGGTTTAGCTCCACATCCCTGAGACTTTTAATGAATGAATAACTTCATATTATTTTAGATGCCTCAGTATTTGTTTATTTCTGTGCACTTTCACTTCTAGTGAAAGTGTACGAAATGAATCCCAGCACATGAGAGGATTATGCATTTGAAGCCAATCTAGGATCATGAATTAGAGTCCAGATTGGGTAGTAGAATGAGACTCTGTCCTAGATGCAAAAACAACTACCACCAGTAGCCTTTATTTTTACTTAATAATGGGCCCAGAGTTCCAGAATAGTCATGTTTCTAGCTACTGCTGTTGATCTCTTACTGTGTCTAGTTTAAAAATAAAACATACAATAGGTGTTTGTCTAGCCAAAAACATTGTGTCCAGTCTTTATTGTCCATAACTTGGGTACCAATGGCACTCCTGGAGCCTATCCTTTCAGCACAAAGGACCACTGTGGGTTCATTGCAGCCTGTGGGACCAACAGCTGCACTGAACTTACTACAAATGTGCATCCTTGGAAGTCTACCTAGGCCAACTGAATCAGAAATACTGCAAGGAAGCCCAGATATATCTACTATAATAAGACCTTTAGGTAATTTTAATCTATGTTCAAGTTTAGAAATGTCCATCTAATATTTTCAGTTCTGAGACTGTACTAGAATAATTTCTCAAAAATTATATCTCAGAGGCTGAGGCAGGAGGATAACAAATTCAAGACCTACCCATGATGCAGACAACCTTGAATGAAACCCTGTTCCATATTAAAAATACAGAAAGAACTGGGTATGTTGCTCAGTGGCAGGGCACCTGCCTAGTATGTGCAAGGTCCTGGCTTCAATCCCCAGAACCATGGAAAAAGAAGGCAGGGTTTAGTGGTACATTCCTTTAATCCCAGCACTTGGGAGTAACAGGTAGGTAGATCTCTGTGAGTTCAAAGCTAGCCTGGTCTACAAAGTGAGTGAGTTCTGGATAATCAGAGATACACAGTAAGACCATGTCTAAAAAGGGAGAGAAAGACGGAGAAGAAAAATAACCCAGTGTCCTTTCTTATGCTGTTTTTCATTCTTTCTCTGTCTCCTTCCACAACCAATATATAAATAAACCAAAAACAACATTCTGATGCTTTTGGTTTCTTCACATGTTTATCTTGTTTCCCTAGAATGTTGGGGGTAGCCCGCAGAGCTGGGTCTCAAGAGTGACCTGTGTTCATTGAGTGTACCACCTAAGTATGGCACAGGTAGTCTACAGAAAACATCTCATTTCACTGACTTTAATTCTTCATTGCAACCTTAAACATCAGCTGTTTTTGTTGTCCAAGTTTTGTTTTACAAGCAAGAAAGATGAAACAAAGACAAAGGTCATAAACCATTCCTGGCTGAGCCTTCTTGCTGCATCTTGCCAGAGACAAAGATTCTCTCTAGGACTTTCAAGGTCTCCTCTCTGATTAAGATGGGTCTTCTCACACAACCTAATTGTCTTCTAAAAGACTCTGGCTCCAAAAGCTATCATTGTGGTGGGAGTGGGGTGGGGTGACATTTTAACATGAATTTGAGAGTTGTACATTCAGAGGGCTTCAGAGGGAAAGCAGGCAAAAACTATTCATCCATGTGCCCACAACTCTCAACCAGTTACTACCTTCTACTACCTTTAGTCAGAGATAGGGGCACCTGCAATTACACCGATTGAACCTGAAGATGGAGACAATTAGTGGTTTTGACAGGAGTTCAGCTTCTAATTGAATATCAAGTGTGTGAATGTTATTCATGACATCGAGTGAAGAAATGTGTTGCCATCACCATTGTTTGTAGATTGTGGTTGGAAAGGAGGATAGGCTGGTTCTGAAGCCTGGGTACCACTGTGAGTTGTATAGCATGCCATAACATAATCTGCTAGGGGTTGAAGACTCTATTGAGGGATAAACATAAAAACTTTGAGTGTTTTCTCCCAAAGAGTGACCCCTTTCTAGAAACCATGTATTAACAATTCCTAAGGACATGCAGTATTGTTTTGAAAAGTCCCAGGGCTTGCGTATCTTCATGCCCTCTGCCCCTGATGGTTCTTTCCCCCGTTGCCTTCCAGTCACAGCAGAAGTGCATTGTGATCTTCGCCCTGGTCTGCTGCTTTGCAGTTCTGGTCGCACTGATATTTTCAGCCGTGGACATCATGGGAGAAGATGAAGACGGACTCTCAGAGAAAAATTGCCAAAATAAATGTCGGTAAGAGGTAACAACCAAAAATTCTCTTTTAGGGGGTGGGTGAGAAAGTCAGGGAGGGGCCTGGGCAGGGACAAGAGAAATGTCTACTGGGATCTGTTTTCATCAAGGCTTAGCAGAGGCCTCCCTCCCTCCGCAGAGAAGCTTGCATTTGTTAGGTCAGGCACTAAGCAAGATGAATGATTTCATCCGCTTGACACCCTGGCCGTAGTCTACACAGAGAGGTGGTTGACCAAAGGAAATATCTGACAGGCAGCATTTCTGGAGACTTTTGTGTATGACGTTTCGATTCACACCCTGATAAAGTCTACTGAGGATGGACAGAGAACAAGTTCTAGTTGTTTATGCAGTAGACGTTAACACATGTGTCCCAGGGTACATTGTATCATGTAAGGACAGGAGCTCCCCCAGTTGGCTACCCATAGCTTAGCACATGGTTGGTTGTGTGTGTATTTATTTTAATCTAGACTCTACAATGGCTTTAGTAACCACAAGGCTTATTTGAAATTTCAGTAATTCATATATGTCAGGGGTCCTATAAGATTCATTGCCTACTGGCAGATATTTGAACACACCGTGCTGTTCACATGGTGATGAAATCAAATAAGGACGTGTTTCTCAGAACATGTCTCCCTTTTTCCCACTGAACCATTTTACTTTTTAAAGTTTTGAGGTTGGGTATTGAAGTAGAGACATAAGAAGCTGTCGTCGACATCAAACTAGCAAGCATGATGCTCATGCTAATATAGAAACTACAGTTCAAACTCCAGCTTTGCTTCATAACAGCTATCAGAATTCATAGCCTCAGTTCAGCTTTCCAGTGACATGTGCTTAAAAGAGATCATGTGGGCAGCAGGGTAGTAGTGAGTACTCACATTTTCCCCTGGATATTTTGCCTTGAAGTTGAATATTCTATCATAAGAAATGTTCCCAAAAAGCAACGAACTTCCCCACTACCTTTGATCCATTGCAGTCTAGTTACCAGGCAACCGGTATTATATACAAAGCGAAGAGCACAAGAAATAGCCACCCACTTTGGATTTTTAACCTAGTATTAGAGATGTGTCCCATAAATATATTTTTTTATTGTGCTAATAGGAGAACAGTTGAACTGGGATCATTAGTTTTTAAAAGCAATAGCATAATGGCACATGGCTGTTGTCTTCTGCTGTTTGTCACACATCAAATAGGAGCACCATTGGACTAGGGGACAGGAACAGACAAATAGCTACTGAGTAGAAGCACTGTGCTTTCCTCTTCCACCCCACTCTGAAGTGGAAATCTCTTAGTACTTTAAGTACAAATCCCAGTATCTAGAAAGAAATTGTACACAGGTCAAGCTATAAAACTCCCTTAAGGAAAAATATCCCTGCATTTTCAAACCTCATTAATGGGTGGTGGTGGGCTTCAAAAACAACAACAAAAGATGTAGTTATAATTGCCCTTTGTTTCACTTAGAAGGTATTCTTTACTCAATTTGTGCTCTTTAAATTTTTTATTAATTTTTTCATACATATTTTTGGTCATATTATTCCCCCCCCTACTCCTCCCAGATCCTGCCCAACAGGAAGGAGAATGAGTGGAGACTAGACTATTTTCTGGGTGGTGTAGCACTGAGTCCGCAGATTTTAGATATCTAGTTATCAAGATAGAAAACAGTACCAGGGTCAAATTCCAGAGGCACAGGTTAAAAGGAGATTATTTTGTTGTTTTCCTGTATTTTGTTTTTGTTTTGTTGCACTATGTTTGATGGTGATGGTGTGTTGTGGGGGGTGGTAAATGTAGACTCTTTGCTGTATGAATGTAGACTCTGGTTACTACATGGTTACATGATATAACCATCCCTGTAGATGACCGTACCTTCCAGAGCCATCTACTCCCCAAATATTTCATCTACAGACTTCTTCCCATGGTCTGCATTTCTAATTTTTTTTCCTACACAGTCAGCCTTCTTGTTGCTTTTTGTGCATCTTACAAGGCACATCTTGCTCTCCACCCTCACCCCTCCACTGGGAGGTCTCTGCTTCCCCTCCTCTCTCCAGTGCACGGGAGTAAGAGTCAGGGTCCCTGTGAGGCCTTATACCTGGATTCAGTCCCCTCCTACCATTGTTCCATCTTTTCTGATCATTTCCACTTGAATGTCATGAATTTCCTTACAGCATCTACTCCCCCTTTCTGTCACCATCAGTGACATTGCCTTCTGACTTCTGTGGTTTGCTTCTTTGTTTGTGTCTAGCCTCTGGCCTCATCCCTCACCAACATCCTTAGTAACTTCAAAGTGTCCTATCCCGTACTGAGCCCTACCATTACTTAGCCCATACCTCACTTCTGAACCAACTTGCCAGCAAAGTACCCTCCTCCAAGTTAGGAAAATGCAGGAAATGACGGGGGCTTTGAAATAATAAGGATCTGGGCTTAAACTGCCTTCTATCCTCTCTGGGTTCTGTTTGCTTGGGTGCAGAATTAAGTCCCTCATCTACTATGAGAAACCCCAAGGACTTAGCAAGGAGTTCTGAGACAATGCAGTGAGTCTGTTGTGATAGACCATGGGCCAGAACTATAATGGGCATGTCCAAGGCATGTGGGGAATGACCTGACACAGTGCAAAAAAAAAAAAAAAGAAAGAAAGAAAGAAAGACAAAAAAGGTATCTGTCCTTGGATTCTCCACCCCTCAGATGGGTTAAGGTGATTTTAGTCTCAGTTCCCTTAAAAATGGCTGAAATTATCAAGTCTGTCCTACAAGGTCTATGTGGATCCAGTGAGTTGCCTAAATCCACTGGGGGCCAGTGATCATCTAAGTTATTGTTTAGCTGCCTGAACCATCACTGGAGACAGCAGGCCTGACCTGGTGGTGCAGGGAGTTGGTTTCCTGGACAAGTTGCTACAAGTTATTGCCAGAGTTGAGTTGTGTTCTCACTATGGAATGGCTGTTATCCCTTTGTATATTCAGTCTTCATTCCACCAACTTTCCCCTGTACTTACCTGTTCATTTGCTTGCTTGTTTTTTAAGAAAAGGTCTTGTAACCTACTCTGGCCTTGCCCTGCTAGTGTTCCTGCCTGTGCCTCCCAAGCACATGAGCTACCACACTGGCCAAGCTCTTCTGTTAGACCACATCCCCATGCTTCCTCCGGCGTCAAGAGTGGCTTGCCTTCTTGAAGCATGCTGTTAGCGTTTATCCTGATCCTCCCATCCTTGTCCTCAGAGTGTTTGGGTTCCATGTGCTCTAGCTCTTTTCCCTCCAGGCACAGATGCCAATGGTAAAAATGACCAGGCTGTTCCAACAGAGAAACACCCCTGAGTTCCTGAGACTGATGTGGCTCAGCAGAAGGAAATGCTCTGGCCTGCAGGTGCTCCCCAGAAAGTCCTCATCAGCTTCAGCTTCTAACTTATTCAGGCTCCTCTCCCCACCTCATCCCTCCTCTGGCTCTTTTCAGACTTCACTCTATGGTGACACTCATTGTGTCAAGTAAAGTGACACTACTCTCAATGGCTGTGATCTCCAGAGGTACAGTTTTTCTGTAGGCTTCTCTACTTTTTGTATTGTTACCAGAAACAGAGCCATGTGCCCAGTGTAACCTTTGCTGGGATCTGTTACTTAGAAATCAAACTTTCCATGTTTGTCTGTCTGCTTACTCCTGAAAGTTGAAAGCAGCCTGGCAGCTGGCAGCTCTCTTCTCCGTGTTTTGACAGCCTCTCCCCAAGTTCTTTTCATGCCATGCTCTTCTCCAAATATCTCTCTGTAATTCGTCTTGTTCGGCTTGCTAGCCCATCTGTCCTGTAATGGATCTTGGGTCTGAATCTCACACTGCTCAGTCAGCTGTCCCAACTCTTACACTTTTGTTAATGTATCTTGCCATGATCTGTTCTGTCTGCCTTGCTTTATTCCTTTGTCCCACGGCTTACTTTTCTCATGTGTGACTGGACTAACAGGAGATACCCATACACTCACCCATCATTTTCCCATGTAGATCTATAAAATGCAAATTGTTCAAAAACTGTCCTCCCCATTCCTTCTGTTTAATTTTAAGAATGGAATCTTACTGCATTACCCAGGCAGCTTATTCTTGTGGTTTGGTTCGAGTCCCTCTGCTGTTTTTTCTTTTGAGACCTGCCTTCTCATCATCTCAACACTCCTGGTTCAGATTGCCACTCAATTTGATTATCAGTATTTTTCCTACTTTCCTACTTCCTACATACAGTTGGTGTACATGGTCAATTCTTCCGTGGCAACACTGGCTTCTGTTAGTGCCTCATTGCATACATGAAAACAAAAAAAATTCCTGAAAACAAGAACCCCATTGTCATCTACACCCCTGTTATCTTACATAGTACTTTATCACTCAACACTAAGCTTTTAATAGGAAATAATTTTCATCTGATCCAGGTAGAAATTACTGGAATAGTACTGTTTGTTGGGGTAATATGTGAGACTTGGGTTAATTTTTTGTATGCCCATAATGAAATTTTCTGTAGGGTAGGTAACAACTGATTATGAAAGCAAAGACTAAAGTGTACATGATACAACTAGCAGATGTCATGTAACCATACAAAGTTATGATAGCTGCTTCTTGATGGCAGAGTGACAAAGAAATAGCTTGAAGACCACAACAAGAGGATCCTTGCTTAAGCAAGAGGGAAGGAGAAAAAATGGCTCCTGAAAGTGATCCTCTGACCTCCACATACACATAGTGGTACACCCCTGCACACATGTGTTCACACACCTCTGTACACAGGTATGCAGGCAGACATGGTGCTGAAGAAAGAGCTCAGAGTTCTACAACTTGATCTGAAAGCAACAGAAGCAACTGTGTGCTACACTGGGCATAGCTTGAGCATATAAGACCTCAAAGTCTCCCCCCACAGTGATGTACTTCCTCCAACAAGGCCACACCTATTCCACAAGGCCACCTAATACTAATGCTGCTCCCAATGGGCCAAGCATTCAAAAACATGAGTCTGTGGGGGCCAATGCTATTCAAACCACCACAAGCTCCTTGTAGA